TAGCGTCATCTTGAGGAAAGAAGTTGAAACAGTTTGTGTCCAGGACCTGAGGGCTCTGTAGATATTTTCCCAGCCCTCTTTCTGGCAGTACACAGGTCCTCCATGGAAGGCAGGCAGATAGCAATGGTTTTTTCTGCAGTTCTAACTATCCGTTGAAGTCTGTGTCTGTCTTGTTTGGTTGCCGTGCCAAACCAGGCAGTTATAGAGGTGCAAATGACAGACTCAATCATTCCTCTGTAGAACTGTATCAGCAGATCCTTGGATAGTCTGAGGGCAGTCTGAGCTTTCTGAGTTGGCGCAGGAAGAACGTTCTTTGTGGTGCTTTCTTGATGACATTTTTGGATGTTAGGTGCCCATTTTCAATCCTGAGATATTAGAGAACCCAGAAACTTGAAGGTCTCTACTGTTGATGCTGTGTTGCCTAGTACTGTAAGAGGTGGTAGAATAGGAAAGCTTCTCCTAAAATCTACTATCACTTCTACAGTTTTGAGTGTGTTCAATTCAAGATTGTTCCGGCCGCATCACAAGGCTAGTTGTTCAACTTCCCATCTGTGTGCAGATTTGTCACTGTCTCGAATGAGGCCGATCACTGTTGTATCGTCTGCAAACTTCAGTACTTTAACAGGGGGATCCTTTGAGATGCAGCCGTTGGTATAGAGAGAGAAGAGAAGTGGAGAGAGCACACAGCCCTGGGGGTGGGGTGGGGGGCTGTGCGATTTGTACAGGTATCTGATGTGATTTTGCCTAGCTTCACCTGCGGCTTCCTGTCTGTTAGAAAGCTTACGATCCCCTTACAAGCGTGGTCAGGGAGATTCAAGATGTTGTAGGATGTAGTGCAGAGCCATATAAGGAACGGCTGCTGGAATTGGGGATGTCTAGTTTAACGAAGAGAAGGACGAGGGGGGATATGATAGCAGTGTTCCAATATCCCAGGGGCTGCCCCAAAGAAGAGGGAGTCAAGCTATTCTCCAAAGCCCCTGAAGGCAGGACAAGAAGCAACGGATGGAAACTAGTCAAGGAGAGAAGCAACCTAGAACTAAGGAGAAACTTCCTGACAGTTAAAACAATTAACCAGTGGAACTACCTGCCTCCAGAAGCGGTGAATGCTCCAACACTGGAAGTTTATAAGAAGAGACTGGACAGCCATTTGTCCAAAATGGTATAGGGTTTTCTACCTGAGCAGGGGGTTGGACTAGATGACCCCTAAGGCCCCTTCCAACTTTATTATTATTATTATTATTATTATTATTATTATTATTATTATTATTATTATTATTATTATTATTATTATTATTATTANAGTTTAAATTTTAAATTTCTCTGTGTTAGGTGAGACCAACCCCTCTGGTTAGTTTATGGCTTCATGTATTGTGCAATTCCAGAAAATGATTAAATTCTGGAGCTAGGCTACACGCTGTACTGTATGCATGTCAGTTCCTGCAGCATGGACATCATCGCTCTATCTTCACGAGGGAGGGAGGAGAGATTATCCCCCCCCCCATGGGATACAGGAGCCGCTTAAGTTGGCTCAACCTACCACTGGCTGCCTCTTAGCCAGCAGATCACACGCATGTACAATTATGTACACGTCTGTACGTGCAAATGCGGCTGAAAAGTTGTTGCGTTGGTATGCTGAAGATTCAACCGACAACGCAGCCAGCCTCAGGAATCAGGCTGTTTTGTATGAGAAATCATTCTTAATGCAAATTGTGGTTTTTAAACACTTCCTCCTTCAGCTGTCAACAAAGTATTGTCTGAGTTGTCTTTGCATAGATTGTTTTCCAGCAGTTAAAAAAAAATGAAACATCCAATCAAAATCTTACCCCTTTTAAAATTAAATCTTGGAATCTTTTTCCTAGTGCTTAGAAGCTCTTAAAAACTTTCTGACCCTCTGGCTGATTTTACCCATTAGACAGACTTGGATTTCCTGTGAGAGTGGATCAGGAGCGAGAATAAAGAAGGAAAAGACACATCCCAGGTCAGGAGTTGTGTTTCCTTGTTTCTGTTTCCCACCATGGTCGCCAAACAACTTTCCTTCCTTCCTTTTCTCCCGTCCTTCCTTCCTTCCTTCCTTCCTTCCTTCCTTCCTTCCTTTTGTCTAGCATTTGCATTTTTCTTTCTTTCTTTCTTTCTTTCTTTCTTCTTTCTTTCTTTCCCTCCCTCTCTCTTCCTTCCTTCCTTCCATCTAGCATTTGCATTTTCTTTCTTTCTTTCTTTCTTTCTCTCCCTCCCTCTCTCCTTCCTTCCTTCCTTCCTTCCGTCTAGCATTTGCATTTTCTTTCTTTCTTTCTTTCTTTCTTTCTTTCTTTCTTTCTTTCTTTCTTTCTTTCTTTCTTTCTTTCTTTCCTTCCCTCCCTCCCTCCCTCCCTCCCTCCCTCCTGTCCTTCCTTCCTTCCTTCCTTCCTTCCTTCCTTCTTTTCCTTCGCCATGCTAGTCAATTGCAATAGAAGCAAAAGGCATTTTGTGATTGGGCACCACACAGGGCACACATCTCCAGTTCTTTGCAATGTTAGGTGTGTAGCCTGAAGCCAGCTAACTGTGTCTGATTCTGTGCATTGTGCTTCGGCCCTTCCTGGCACTGAGTAATGTGTGAATTGCACCTTCTTTTGAGTATCAGCCCCCCCCCCCTACTATGTGGCTAAAATAACCGGGAATCCTGTGGTTCTGAAAGCGAATTGAGTTTGAATTGAACCGAGGCCAGGGCTTTTCTATATATTTTGTCTTGAATAAGCTCTCTCTCCTTCCCCAAAACTCTTTAGCAACTATTACTCAACGCACATAAAGCTGGAGTCCTGTACAGCTCTAGATCAGGGTTTACTTAAGTTTGTTGAATAAGCTACAGTGTTTTGTCCCAACTTAGTGGGATAGCCATACATTGTAAGTTAGAAAGCACAGTAACAAAGCTCACACAGTCAACCAAGGCACACCACACGCCACTAGGATGGCTTGACCAGATGCCCACCCCAAATAACAAGGTTTATTTCCACTGGAAAGCAGATTCCCCGGACAGTGGATCGCTGCTTCCGCAAATTAGAAATACTGTCTCGGTTCCTTTTCTCTTTAATAACCCGTGGCGAGGGAGTTGGGAAAGGGAGAAACTTTAAATCCCAAAGGATGTTCAATAGCTGAAAAATACCAGCTTGAGAATTTCAGCGGTGAGGGAATTAAGACTATTGCATCTCTGGACACAATTCGGGGCTTTTCTGGGGCGGTAGAATAATCAGACGCACAAATAAACGGAACTTCCTCCAAAGTTTGTTCGGCACCAGAAATGATTAAGGAAGGAAAGGAATCCCTGCGGATTTGACTCCGCTAGTCGCTGCCGAGGATAGCAACGATTCCGGGTGCGCTTTAAGGTGTTAGTTACCACCTTTAAAGCGCTCCATGGCACAGGACCCGGCTATCTCCGAGACCGCCTTCTGCCACAGATTCCCTCTCACAGACCAGTACGCTCCCACAGAGTGGGTCTCCTCAGGGTGCCGTCGGCCAAGCAATGTCGGCTGGCGACCCCCAGGGGGAGGGCCTTCTCTGTGGGTGCCCCCGCCCTCTGGAACGAACTACCCCCCCCCCCGAGATCCGGGTGATTCCGGATCTCCTTACTTTCCGCAGCGCCCTCAAGACATGGCTTTTCCAGCAAGCGGGCCTGACCTAGGGAGGATTTTAAATCGGGTGCATTTTTTAGAAAATTTTAAATACCACAACTTTAAAATATTTGGGTTTTAAATTGGTTTTATTTGGCGGGGATTGTGGGCATGTTTCTGTTTTAAATATGTTGTGAGCCGCCCTGAGTCCCTCGGGAGAAGGGCGGGATACAAATCAAATAAATGAAATGAAATGAAATGAAATGGACGGGGAATTTTTCGGTCAAGGTAGGAAACCCAATTCCCACGAATGATGTCGGGTATTTTGAATCTCCAGGCACAATTTCTTCGTTGGCAAGCCATTGAAGTCAATGGTGGGAGGAAGGGGGGAGGGGTGACCATTAGTACCGAGATAAGAAAGAGACCCCCCCAGGCAAACCTAGAGGCTACATTCGCGCAACTTGCTGATAAACACGCATATTTTTAACCTTGGTGGTTGTCCTAACCCAGCCCGTTCGTAATAACTCTTCTTTCGCGTTATCTTGCCAATCCACACATCGGGTTAATTCTCAAACCGAGTTTATTTTATTTGTATCATATATTTGCCATTTCCTTACCGGACTGTCGGCCGCTGATTCCGGTTAAAAACACCATTAAAAAGTTCAGAGAGTAAATAGCGGGGTCGTGTGAACCCAGGCCGAGTTTGAGAAAGGCCCCAAGTTCCCTAAAGCGGCGCGACCCCCTCAACCCCAGCCCCGGGCCAGAAGGAGAACAGCCCATAGCTTGTCGGTCTCACCTTCGCGCTGGGAGCCGGCTTTGTCCCAGAATCGCCCTGAGCCAAGCGGGCAGAATCGTGGCTTGTTCGCCGCTGGCTGCGGAGCCTTCGCTTCCCTCTAGCCGTGACACACACACACACACACACACACACACAGAGAGAGAGAGAGAGAGAGAGAGAGAGAGAGAGAGAGAGAGAGAGAGAGAGAGAGAGAGAGAGAGAGAGAGAGAGAGAGAGAGAGAGAGAGAGAGAGAGAGAGAGAGAGAGAGAGAGAGAGAGAGAGAGAGAGAGAGAGAGAGAGAGAGAGAGAGAGAGAGAGAGAGAGANTCCATGGAGTTGTATTGAGTTCAGAGGGAGGAAGAGCTGGGAGCCAAGCGCAGGCTTGGAAGGGGGAAAGGTCGGGGAGGGGGGTTTTTTTGGGAAAAGGAGGAGCCGCTCTCCCTGCCCGGAGCTCGGGTGCTTTACGCGCTGGAAGAACCCTCCACGAGCGCGCCGTCGCCTTTAACGGATACTCTTCTTGGGGGGGGTGGGAACGGGGCGCAGGTCCAGGTAGCTGTCGGGGTTGCCGCCGGCGTCTTTCCCTCTCGCCCCCCCGGTTTGGAGGCATTTCCCTAAAACGACCTGGGGGCTGGGCTACCGCGCAGATGTTGGTGCACACGTACTCCGCGATGGTGAGTTAGTTTGGGGGGCTTCCTCGGTGTGGGGCGTGCGGGGACGCGTTGCTAAGGAAGAGGCGAGGAAGAGGAGCAGGACGTTTTCCTCTCCCGGGAGGGACCCTTCGAAAAGCACCTTAGAGAGCCCCTTTTAGAGCTCCGGATTCCGAGGGGCTCCGTCTTTTAATACGTCCCAGATGTGGGATCCCGGTAACCTAGTAGCTGATGGTTCAACACCCCCCCCCCATCCAGGTTGAGAAGGAGGGGAGCGCAGAGACTCATTGCAAAAGTGGAAGGGTGGGGGGAAAGGGGGCCGAAGGAACGAAAGAAACTCCGGCAGGGTAATTCGGATTATTCGCGACGTCCGGAGGCTGAGCGCAAAAGCAGGGACCCTTCCCGCCGGGTCTTATTCGCAAAACCCGGGCTGTGTCCGGGCGTGGGGGGAAGGGGCTCCTGCCTGCGGGTCTCTGCTGGCCTCCCTTCCTGAAGGCAGGGCAAGGAAGGGGGGAGAGGAGGACTCCAGACGGGGTCCCCAAAGCGTGGCAAGGCCGGCGAGGCGAGGCTCCAAACGGCGCCTTGTTTTGTTGTGCTGGGTTGCGCCTTGGCTCTTTCTCAGCGGCAGAGTTTGCCTGCTCGGGCCCCAGGGTAGACGGGCGGACAGGGCAGGAAGCGAAAAGCTCGCCCCGAGGAAGGCTGGGCCGCGCCAAGCCCCGAAGCGCGTTGCGCTCTCTCCGGCTTGCTTGCTTGCTCGCCCGGGGGAGAAGGCGAGGAGCTGGGCTCGGCTAGGCGGAGGAGGCGGCTGCGCCATGCCTCGAGGCTCAGGTGTTGCGAGCCGGGGCCTCAGGGAGCCGTCGCAGCCACCGGGAGCCCTGGCGACGCGCGCTGCTTGGCGCCGGGCAAAAGCCGGCCTCTGGCGCCCGAGCGCGAGTGGCTGCGTGGTGACCTTTCCCTCCCTTTGATGTCCCCCACCAGGACCGCTCGGATGGGCTGAACGGGAGCTCCGCCGGCGGCCGCCTGCCCCAGCTGTCGTCCCTCAACCAGGCGGCGGCCTACTCCTCGGCTCCCCCGCTCTGCCACACGCCGGCCTCGGACTTCCAGCCGCCCTACTTCCCGCCGCCTTACCCGCAGCCGCCGCTGCCCTACGCGCAGAGCCAGGAGAGCGCCTACCCGCACCTGGGGGACCCCTACGGAGGCCTCAACCCCCTCCACCAGCAGCAGCAGAGCGCCTGGCCCTCGCAGCGGGCGCGCCACGAAGAAGCGGCGGCGGCGGCCGCAGCAGCCGCGGGCCTCCTCTCGCAGACGCACCGCGCCCTCGGCCTGGATCCGCGCAGGGACTACCCGGGCATGCCGCGCTTGCTCCACAGCTTGGCCGACGGAGCGCACGCCTTGGCCGACGGGCCGCTGGGACTCCACGCTCTGGCTCACCCCAGCCTCGAGGACATCCAGGTACCGGCCCGCGCCTCCGGCCTCGCCAAACGCGGCGGACTGGAAGGGGAAACGGGGAGGGAGAGAGAATGCTGGGGGGTGGGGGGGGCTCTTGGACGGCTCCTTTTCAAAAAGATCTCTCCGGGGCTATTGATTCACCCAGAAAGAATTCCCGTGACATTTTTTTTTCTGGAGGATTTCCTTGGGGATTCCTTGGGGGGTCCTGCCGTTCGCTCCCACTCCGCCACGTAGCGCGGCGCCCGCCGTTCCTTGAAAAAGCGCCCTTTCCGTCTTTAAAAAGCGAGAGTGCCAGAGCTAGAATAAACACCCCCCCCCCGAGAGCCCCTTAACCGCTCGATCGCGACGCTTCCCCCCAAAGCGAGGCTTTCCGGGATCCAGCCGCTCCTCCAACTTTCCATCTGCTTCTTTCCACCGCGCAAACCAAATTAAGAGAAGCTAAAGCGGGGGTGAATAAGCTGGCGTGAATTGGGGAGGCTGCGGGGGGCTAATTTTGCACGCCTGTTTCTGGGGTGAACAATTAAAAGTTTGCTTAAAAGCCGGCGAAGCTGACTCCCGAGGGGACAAGGTGGTCAGGATGGCGGTGCGCGGCGCGCTTCCTTTTTTTTCTTCTTGTTTGTCTTTTCCCTTTTTTCCCGCTTTCTTCCCCAGCGCTTCTGCTTCTCCTCTCCCCCACGCGCCCTCTCTCTCTCTCTCTCTCTCTCTCTCTCTCTCTCTCTCTCCCCTCTCTTGGTCCCGGTTCCAAAATCGGCCCTTTCCCTTCCCGTGCACACGAACCTTCAAACGCGCCAGTTTCCAGGAAATCAGAAGCGGCGGGAAGGAGCCCCGATCCAGGAAAGCTTTCGACTTTCCGCCCTTCAAAGCAATCGAGAGTTTGATCGCGGAACGAACTACCAGGCCCTGGTTGGTCTAACCGTGGCTTAAAATGGTTTTTTTGGCTTTCTCGACCCGATGGACGCAAGCCCGGGGCCGAAGCCGATGCCTTTGAATTAGTCCTTTATTCTCTTCAATTTCCCCGTGTTTACTCCCGTGTAAATCGTACCCCCCC